GCAGCCCTCGAAAGTGGCGACAGCTTGGCAGATCGCAGCCCCTCAGGGACGGCAAGGTCCCGCTCAGATCTGCGCGGTGCCTCACTCCAGTGGACCCACGAGCAGCCCTCGAAAGTGGCGACAGCTTCACAGATCGCGGCCCCCCAGGGATGGCGAGGTCTAATTTGGGTCTGCGTGTGCCCTCACTGTGCTGGGCCCCCCAGCAGGCCTCGAAAGTGGCGACAGTTTCACAGATCGCAGCCCCCCCAGGGATGGCGAGGTCTAATTTGGGCCCGCGCGTGGCGTCACTGTGCTGGGCCCCCCAGCAGACCTCGAAAGTGGCGACAGTTTCACAGATCGCAGCCCCCCAGGGATGGCGAGGTCTAATTTGGGTCCGCGCGTGGCGTCACTGTGCTGGGCCCCCCAGCAGGCCTCGAAAGTGGCGACAGTTTCACAGATCGCAGCCCCCCAGGGATGGCGAGGTCTAATTTGGGTCCGCGCGTGGCGTCACTGTGCTGGGCCCCCAGCAGGCCTCGAAAGTGGCGACAGTTTCACGCAGATCGCAGCCCCCCAGGGATGGCGAGGTCTAATTTGGGTCTGCGCGTGGCGTCACTGTGCTGGGCCCCCCAGCAGGCCTCGAAAGTGGCGACAGTTTCACAGATCGCAGCCCCCCAGGGATGGCGAGGTCTAATTTGGGTCCGCGCGTGGCGTCACTGTGTTGGGCCCCCCAGCAGGCCTCGAAAGTAGAGACAGTTTCACAGATCGCAGCCCCCCGCAGGCAAGACAGGAGGAGGCAGGCAGGAGGGAGGCGGGAGGAGACGCGCGAGCAGTGCTCTATTCAAAACGAATACCCAACCAAGGAGGGTTGGGAATAAAGCAGCAAGCAGGACGCACGAGGAGGGAGGGAGGCGGGAGGAAGGAAGGTGGAGACCACAGTCCCTTATTCAAAAAGGAAACCCAATCAAGGAGGTTTGGGAAAAAAGAGAGAGCCGCGTCAGCTGACATACAGGATCCGGCTTGAATAAGGAGCACTTACTTTTCAAGGGGCTCGGTCGTTCCTTTGGTTTATATGCGTTCCGCTACCTTTTTGGCGGCGAGCCCCCCTGGTGTTCCTTCAGATTTTAGACGCGCGGGTTCGTTTTGTCGATGAGGGCGGCTAGTGTAAGGAACGGGGCTCCAAGCGGGGCTCGGTTCCTTGCGCTTGCTCGACGTAGTGCGACGGCGGTCGCGCACAACGCCGGCGCCTCTCTCGGGCCCCGCCCGTTCCTTGCGGGGCGCGCATTGGAGTTTTCGCCGTTATCTGCGTGCCAAGGTAGGGGGATTAAGGTAAAATTCCTCGCTGGAGCAGTTCTTCTGCCCCAGAGCAAAGTAAGCCGCTGGGGCATAAGAACTCTTCGCCTTAAGCGGCTTAGAGTAAGAAGCACAGCCGGAGGAGGAGGAGGAGGAGGAGGAGGAGGAGGAGGAGGAGGAGGAGGAGATAGGAGCAGGAGGAGCAACAGGAGACGGAGGAGGAGGAGGAGGAGGAGGAGGAGGAGTGGAGGATGGAGAGGGGGAGGAGGAGGAGGAGGAGGAGGAGGAGGAGGGGAGGAGGGGAGGAGGAGGAGGAGGAGGAGGAGGAGGAGGAGGTGAAGGTGGAGGAGTAGGAGCAACGGGAGGAGGAGGAGGAGGAGGAGGAAAAATGGAGGAGGAGGAAAAGGGGGGGGACAGATGATGTTGTTGTTGTTGTTGATGATGATGATGATGATGATGATGATGATGATGATGATGATGATGATGATCATCATCATGATGATCATGATGATGATGATGATGATGATGCTGATGATGATGATGATGCTGATGATGATGATGCTGATGATGATGATGATGATGATGATGATGATGATGATGATGATGATGATGATGATGATGATGATGATGATTTTTTCAACGACGTGAGAGCCAAGAAAGGAAATACACGTGCACTTCGATTTGCAACAATTCGGCTCGTCGCAGAGAGCGTGACTCTCGAAAGCCGCGCGGGGGCCCTGATGCCTGCAGGGTGCTACAGAACAGCGAGGCCTGCTGGGCATGAGCGAGTGAGGTGGTTGAGGATGTTAGCACTCCAAAGGTTAGCGGCGAATGGGCGGTGGCCGAAACAACTGAACAAACATCCGAATCGCACACACGACGCGCCAGGGGCGCGGGCAGAGGGCACGAGAGAGAGGATGAGGGGAGAAGACCTTGTCTGGCAAGCCAACCAACGTTAGGGATCCATCATGGAAAAAAACCTGGGCTCAGGCATCACACCGTGGTACTGCTCGGCTCCGCGGTACTGGATTACGAGAAGAGGGCAGTCCCGACCCCGCATAAGGGACGGACAAAGGACCCTAAGCAAAGCCTCGGGCCCACCTGCGAATGCTCGATTCCTTGGAACTGGGGTCCGACGCATTGCTCGACTCCGTCGTGACAAACACTGTGGTACTGCTCGGCATCGTAGAAATGCTCGGCTCCGATGACGAGGAGGAGGAGGAGGAGGAGGAGGAGGAGGAGGGTAGGAGGATGAACAGGAGGAGGAAAAGGAAGAGGAGGAACAGGATTAAGAGGGGAGAAGAGGCAGAGCTTGAGGAGATTATCCCGGCAAAGCAACCTAACAGCGATGTGTAAAAGCATAGCTGGAAGCATTGCCTATGGTATTCATGTAGGAGTGCTGGTGTAGAATTTTTTTTGTTCTCGCAGTCGCATTCGGATTCGCAGTGGCAGTCGCAGTGGCAACATCAGTCCTAGTCGCAGTCGCAATGGAGTTCCGGGAGGTCGAAGAGCACGAAGTGGCCTACAGTTGGCTCCGGGCATTCAAAATGTGGCCCGGGAATGGAGTTCTGGAAAGGCTAAGAGCACGAAGTGGCCTACAGTTGGCTCCGGGCATTCAGAATGTGGCCCGGGAATGGAGTTCTGGGATGTCGAAGAGCACGAAGTGGCCTACAGTTGGCTCCAGGCATTCAAAATGTGGCCCGGGAATGGAGTTCTGGGAAGTCGAAGAGCACGAAGTGGCCTAAAGGTTGGTCCGGGGCATTCAAAATGTGGCCCGGGAATGGAGTTCTGGGAAGTCGATGAGCACGAAGTGGCCTACAGTTGGCTCCGGGCATTCAGAATGTGGCCCGGGAATGGAGTTCTGGGAGGTCGAAGAGCACGAAGTGTGTGACTGTTTGCGAAAAACGAGTTCGGACCCAGCTCCCCGGATGCCGCCCGGACCCCCCTGTGG